ATGGAAAGTACAACATTGGAAATACATTAAGGGGAGACACATTTTTGTTTTGAAATTACTATCCTCTTAAAAAGAGAGGAGGGAGGGAATGAGAGAGAGGGAGTGAGGAAATGAGAGACAGAGAGAATGAGAGAACCTGATGCCAAGACTGTAGTATAAATCTGTGCTATTAATGGCTTTGGTGTACCAGTTTCATGGGAGTTATTTTGATAATCCACTATTGTATGAATCTGAAACAACCTCATTCCAGAGCAGTGTTATATTTCTATTTCTGGTATTTTTTGTGATCTTAGTGTTAACAAATGTGATGTTAATTAAAAGATAAGTGCAGACTTAACATGATAGAATAGGACTGAAATTATTTCCTCTTGTTTTGTATTTCTTATTATTTTAATAACTGTTTGGATGTAGATTGTGAGTGCTTGCCACAGCCATCACTTCTAGGATCTAAATTTGTTTCAGCAAGGTACAAATATGCTCTCACTCTTGGATTTTCTGGAAGCACTCTCAATTTTACAACAAATAAATATAAAAGACAGGGTATTCATTATCAACATTCTTTTATTTCTTTCTCTTTGTTTTTCTCTCTCTTTCAGACTTTCTCTCTCTTTCTGTCTCTTGTTCTTCTTACCATAGTAGCGAAAAAAAAAAAGAAACTTGAAAACATGAATCTAAAGTGGCTTAGAAACAAGAACAATAAAAAATAACATTGCATTTAAAAGTATTGTATTTTTTTTTCCCCTTAAAGCTGGTCCCTGTGATTTTATGGGCCCAATCAGGAAGGCTAAAAGAATGTGGCAGTTGGGCCCCATTTACAGATGAGCATAACTGGGGCTTGCTTTTTATACCAATGTCGGAAGTCCAGTTGGTCTCAAAGTCATTTGTTGGGATTTTCTAAATGCTGCTAGTAATGTTTGGTGTGAAATTTAAAAAACTTATTTCAGTGTTCGTTTACTTCATACTCACTTAAATATCAGTGGAGATAGCTAAACCAATTGATTTAACTTTCTGGTTCTCATGAACTATGCCACATTTGATATGCTTGAATTGTAAATGTTAAAGCAGCATAAAATAAGGGGAAAAGTTTCCAATTCAAGCAAAATAATTTACCTTAAAAAAAAAGTTCTTATAGACAAAACTTTTAAAAGACTTTCTAAAAAATTATCTCTGAAGATGGCACCATAATAGTAATATTTTACTGGAATTGTTCTCTGTAGGAATGTTTTTTTCAGGTGTTTTATTTCTTCTTGTATCATACGTGATGAATGAATATTCACCATATAATGTTGGCATAAATCCCAGTTGAGACTGGTTTAACTGGTGTAATGCACACTGACTCAGAGTATGATCGCTATATCATAATCACATCTGAATGCCAAAGGCAAGAATGTTCAAAATAAAGTATTTATAGCTGTATTCCTCCAATAGCTGGTTTCCTCCTGAAAGTTTTGCTTGGTGTTTGGATCAGTCTGTATCGCTGCTTAAAAAATTAGGGTATTGAGGTTATTCATGAAGTTTGCAAAGTTTGCAAATATGAACATGTATGATATGCTGCAGAGTTCAAGTGCCATAAAAGTGACATCAAGAATTAGAAAAATCTATAGGGATGGAGAAGTGGTGGGGTTTTATCATCAGGGTATTTCTGATTCCTTTAACTAAAACTTTGGGTTAGGTAATGTTACTGTCAGCCACTAACCTCGTTACACAACATTGTTGGCGCCTGTTGGAGGTGAGGTCTAAAGATGAATTAATATACAAGCTAGATGTTATTCATTCTCTAGCAGAGGTCACTGGTAAGAGGATACTGTGTTATTGGCAACATACGTTTTAATTCAGAAAGAAAATGGATGTGTAGCTGTTAGGTGGCTTTTCCTTAGTGTGTGTGGTGGTGAGGCCGCCTCCCTTGTGTACTGCTTGTTGACATTTCCGGGTAGAGGATAATCACTAGGTCATTTGTTCTGGAGGAGTACTGTCATTTAACCTGATTGTAATTAGGCAAGAACTAGGTTGACTCTGAGCCACCAAATTGCCCTAGTGTCTATTTTTTAACTTGGAGTGAGCACTTCTAGGCACCCTCTGGATTATCTCAGATAGCTCTTTAGGGTTTAAATAGCAACCACATCTAGTTAAAGCAAATAATGGAAAAAGTTGGTGTTCCATCCACTCTTGTTACTGACTGTTATCAAGATCCAGGAAACAGGTATTTGCATTTACTTTTATTCTGTTGTTTGGGCTTAACAGGGCAGTAAGGCTGAGATGGCCTTTTTGTTAAACATAAAGACTTTGGGATGCTTTTACCATTTTGCATCAGAGTAATTTGAGACTTCTCATCCTGACCATGCGGTTTCTGTTGTTTTAGTTTTGTTTTCTTGCTTTGTTGTTTACTGACTAGCGCAGGGGACGTGGCATCATGATTCCTAATCCTCATTCTCCTGCTGACTGCTCATAGAGTATTGAATAAATTGCTTCATACTTTTGTGCTTTGATTTGCTTTCAAAGCATCTTACGGTGGTAACATGATTTAAGTGATTTAAGCTGTTACTATATGGCGAGATCCTGGTAAAAAAATTGTATATACTTTAATAATAACAAAGCAAAGGATTATAAATTGGTTGTTTTGATTTCTAGAGTTAAAGATGAATTTAGAGTATACTTTAGTTTGTTTGAATTTATGAACTCTGGGCTATTCACTGCTAATCTTGTTTCTTCACTTTATTATTATTATTGGATTGTCAGTGATTGCAAGCAGGTGGAAATGTTATATGAACTAGGCTATGAGGCTTGAAACTATTTGAGTATCTAAATATAAAGTCTCTTTAAAATTGTCAGTTCATTGAAGATGCAAATGATTTTAAAAGTATCTTTATCAGTCAGAAAATGCTCTTTTCATCAGTTGTGTTCAGATAGATGATGTGTGTTTTCATGTAACTGTGAGGTAGCTCTGTGGGCACTGCTGGTTGTGGTCTGTCCTCAAGGTGTCTTTGTGCAGCCCCCCTGGACATGTGTGGTGGCACGTGTGTGGTGGAGGGCAACATGTGGCTCTCCCTGTTTGCTTTGGTGCTTCGAACATTGGAGAGGAGAGAGAGAGAGTGTTAAGGTGGCAGAATGGGCAAGTGTATGAGAAAGCAGAACACTTGCCAAATTAAAAATAAAGAAATTGCTTTGAGAACGTTCCGTCATCTCTAGCTTTAATAGTTTCACAAAGCAGACAGGTGTTTTTTGGGATGGAATCCATATGTGAGCTTCTTGGCATTTTGCTGTTGCCTGGGAAGAAAACCAAAACAATGGAAACAGAAATTAAGG